AAGTAGATTTGATATAGTATGGGTTTAAATCGTTGCGTGTATGTTCGTCTCTACGTCTACGTAATAGAAGTAATGCAACCTCGCACCCACTAATGTATCGCTCCTAGTCTCATCCACACGCTAGTATGAAACTACTAATACAGGGTATATAAATCAACAGACGCCTTACCCTTTTTTTTAACTCCTAGGCAACCAACAACCACGGAAGGCAAGACTGATCACCTGTCAGTGGTGCTCTCTACGAACCTGGGAGTGAAATATTCTCCCAGAGCCAAGTTCAGTCAAATTTCGCAATATCAAAGAAGTTGGCCCACGAGGCGAAAATTCAAATTACTACACCATGTCAATCTTTCACTCCCAAAGAGTCCGATTCTCAACTAAGCTTCATCAAGTCTACAAGTACGACCTAGTACATCCTCGTTTCAATGACCACACCTCTCGTCGACTTTCTTTGGCCTCAGCCGGTCACCAAATACACGCCCACGCCGATATTTATACCCGACGCAGGAAGAAAAGCTTGATGCACAAATCTGGGAGACAGTTCTTTGGAATGGACGTGAGAGGGATCAGGACAAGTTCACAAGATGATGTAGAAGATTGGATACAGTCTCGACGGGCATGGAATTTTGAATTTTGGCAAGGAGTTTTACGAATTGAGCTTTGTGCGCGCCAAGACTTCGCTTGTGAGAGTGCAGCTGACACTATAAAAACAAGCCGACGATGGAAGGTGTTGTGGTCCGCCTCCTAGTGGTGTTCTCTGGTATGGTTTGAGTAGCCTGGGCACCTACTCCACTTGGGAAGGAGACACCTCAGATCACATATCGCGCGGAGAAAAGTTTAAAGATGATGGAGGCATGTCTGGATAACTCAGGGTTTTTGAGACGTTCCCCTGGGTGGGTATTCACGGATGAGGGTTGACTTGGGGTAAAGAAAAAGCCACCACAACTTCGCAGTGGTACTTGCAAATGAAATCTGAGGCATGAGTACTCTTCCCTTACGTTGAATCATCCATTCTGTACTTTTCTTTGATATTGTGTCATAGCTAGATAGCTGCATACGCAATTAAAATCTGATGCAAAAAAAAAAAAAACCAACAACCACAACCCTAACTCCATTATGGTAAATTGTGGGGATGATTATGTATGACCAACCCCTCTTATAATTTAACATAACTCAATACTAAACTAGATACTTTTGCAACAGTACCTGTGTAACACTTGCCCATACTTTTGCATTTGTCCGTTTCGATGAGAGACAATGTAAGAGTGTAAATGTAGTGTGATATATATATACATTTGTTTCCGATGCAAGCAACTCCAGTGACGCAGTGGTTAGCGTGTCGTTCTTATATTGGTAGTCATCAACACCGATATGATCTAGTTAGAGTCATGCGAAAGTCGTGGGTTCGACACCCACCTGGAGTAATATTTTTGTTTGTTTTTTTCGATCTCACTTGATAAGAATTTGCAGTTCTATATTCTTTTATTTTTTTTCATCAAATATTAATTGCGTATGCAGCTATCTAGCTATGACACAATTTCAAAGAAAATTACAGAATAGATGATTCAACGTAAGGGAAGAGCACTCATGCCTCAGATTTCATTTGCAAGTACCACTGCGAAGTTATGGTGGCTTTTTCTTCACCCCAAGTCAACCCTCATCCGTGAATATCCACCCAGGGGCTGCAAATCTACATTGCATCTGACGCGCACTGAATTTTTTTTTTATTGTCCTGTCTGAGTCTTTGACTATGTAGGACATGCAGGTCCTCTCTGCCTACAGGCCAAGGATACCTATACCAGTAGTATATCCCCTCCTATGCCTCCCACACAACTCCGCTCAAACGGTACCACCTCTCACAAGTCCTCATTCGATCACACACTTAGCGGAGCCCTTTATCCTTCATTATCTCTCCTCTCCAGCCTACGAAGCGATGGCCATTTGCGGGTGCATGGCAGCCGGGAAAAATCGCAAAAACCGCTGGGTGCGGAGCCCTCCTAATACCGACATCAGGAATAAATCCGAAGACATAGTGGTCTTTCTGAAGCATTCGGAGAGGCCGGCCAGCTGGGCGCTGCAGACTTGTGGGTACCTCAGGAAATTCACCCTCTGCCTTTCTAGCCTCCTTCCAACCCTCCCCCAAAGGTCGTGCTGAAATATCAGAAAAGTCTTGAGAGAGCGTGATTCCTTATGGTAGCTCAGCCCAACTTCTTTTGTGCCGTCCAGGACTCTGGGGAGTGCCGTCGACTCATCGACAAAAGAAGACCTCCTGGCTAATTAGCCGAAATCTCGGTCTTGGCGCCCACCAAAAATCCAAAGTTGAGAATTCCTCGAAAATATCAGTCCCAGCATGCTCTTCAGAGACCTGTTCCCTCTCTCGCTCCACATCTCAGGCGTTTGTCCCTCCTCAAGATGTATAACACCATTAGAGCATCAATCACCCATATATCAAGACCCATGCTCTGTATATTACGACTTCATTTCCTCCTTGCGGGTATACTTAACTCGTAAATTTGTAGTGAGTGATGGCCGGTGATGAATGAGGCAAGATCCTTTTTGCAATTGGGGTGACGCCTTTATCGGCCGTTGAGGCGAGATGATATGTTGTTAGAAAGAGGTTGAGTACTCCGAAGATAATGGTGAGTGTTGTAGGATTGAGAAGTCGTCAAATGGAGATATGCATGTGTTTGCTTTCGAGTTCGATTCGGATGCGATTCTTCTTGGCTATCTTAGATATGTAGAGCATACTGAGCAATTACACCGGCACCACTGGAAGGTAAAGAATTCGTCTTTGCTGGCACACGCACTGCATCATTCTAGGGGCTCAAACATGAATAGAGCCTCGTCGCATCAAGGCAACTTTAACCAAACACAAAATTATCGTTCCATCGTAACAACTTCACTCACGAGCTTAACCATGTCAAATCCGACGCGAATGCGTCCAAAAGCAATTTACTCCCTCAACTCGGCCATTGTAAACATCTTTAGCCAGGACATCACCCGTTTTAGTTGATTTTCCCTTCCATTCTATCCCAATTACAATTAACCCCAGCATCCTCTCATGTTGTCCAGAGATTATTGACGGTACTCGAGGCCTCGTCCAGTCCACCACCAAGGCCACGCCTCTGTTGCGTAGCCCCCATACATTCATCATGACAACGACTTGATACATTCCCAAACCTGTTCATCTTGGAAACTTCAAGAACTATCCAACTCTCTGGCCTTGTCACGTTGGTGCCATAATCCTATCGCGAGGACTAGATTCGTGAGTAGAGCCCAATACCTCGGTACTCATGGTCCGACCTTCGTCAAATGTCCTGGTCGTGCCGGCAAAAAATGGCAGTTATCTCAGTAGCGATCCATCGTTGATCGAGTCGATGATGGCCTTGGCCAAGACAAAATCGCATCTAAGCCCGGAGCCAGGATGATACTCACAGCATGCATCGGCTCCCAAAACTTGGACGATGTCTGTATGTTAGATAGTGCCTACGGCTTATGAGACGATGCGGTAGGCGGCGAGATGAGTTTGCTTGGGAAGTTATTGGGTGCAAAATGCAGTGGGTGGAGGGAATGGCTGTCTTGATTGCTAGTCTCAGATAGGTATACGCCTCTAATTTGGCCTCACGATAATAGAAATTGTTTTACGATTGTGGATCTCTGCAGCTAGGGATTTGAGTAGAAACTTGGAAGCAGAAACTCATTCACCATATCGTTGGAGCTTTTCAAATCCACCCAATGCCCTGACTGAATGTTGCCTTCGGGCAATAAATTTCACTCTCCAGTTCACTGAGGACACCACGAACTAGTGTTCAGTCTTCGCCCTCTGCTCTTGCGGCGTTGATGACTCCAAAGCTAGAAACCCTACGTCTATCACGTAACCAACTCTCCAGTGATGTTGGACGATAGAGTTTTGAAATTTCGACTGCTTGGCACTAAACATCATGTTTGATGAGATAGAGACGTCTCTATTTTACCCACCTAGTTCATGCTTACTCATACATTGCCAGAGCTTATAAAGGAGAATAGAGGTCGTATACTTGACTCAGTCGTGACCGTAAATTATACAAAATTTTGATTCTAAGTGGTTCTAATTATTGACTCAACTAATTTTTAGACTCTTTATTTTCCCAACACCGCTTCACTAGGTGTAATCAGACGGAAGGCCGATCACTTGCGCTTTTATACCAACTCCCTCTCTACATGGACCAGGCCAGAGGCCTCCTCCCTTTTACTCTAGGCCGATAAACCCTCCGAAGCAACTGCAGGACTAGTTTCCCGCATCAACAGGCTGCGCTGAGTCTCTAGCACTGATGCGCCTGGCAGCATAAAAGGTCCCACACTCCTTAATAGTCTTTGTAAACCAGCGTCCTTACACGCGTCGCGATAACGGGTTGTTGCATTTTGCAAGTCTCACTGTCGCCTTAGCTATTACGCAAAGTGTAGACTATCCGACCTGGAATATGCACAAGAGATCAATCCATGCTTCTGGTGAGAAGATAACTTCGTCCAGCGCACTGGCCTCAAATAATTGAGTAGAGAAATGTAGCCCCGTTTGGCATGGAAAAGCTAATTCCAAAGGCGTTGCGACGGAGCGGGGTAAGAATTTAGATTTTGCTGTTGAGTAAGGGCTGATAAGACATCATAGGGAGTAGATGACCCAAGATATAGATACCTCGTGCTTGAGGTAAAATTAATCTCCAACACCTAAATTAGCCTCCAACTAAGTAGCAAATCGACATCAATCATATCGTGTCTGAAACCTATCTCGATCTCAAATTTGCGTCCTTTTTGCTTCAGTTATTACGACTCTGTCTAGGATAGGTCAAAGCACTGGAACTGTGGGAATCGACCCGTAACTGTCTCGAACGAGTAAAGGTCGCGGTATTGGATCAAAATAATGACCTGCGTGATAGAGAAAAAGGGCTTGTCCGTGCAGCATATCAAGTCTCATGAAGTGATGGACTGAAATCATCTGTAATCCTTTGGTACCAAGGCAAGTTTTATTTCTTACGCGAGACCTTTGCGCGACGTCGTCCGCGTTGCTGCGCTCGGCCTGACAATAATGTAGTCTTCACTGAAGCCGAAGCGGCTTCATCCAGCGGTGGTGAAGCCTCTTTGTCCGAAGCATAAGCCGCACTATGGTTACTATTACGCGTGGTCGAAGTTCTCTTCCGCTTCCCTCGAATGAGGCCTGTTGCTGAGTCTGGCTTCTTTCCAGATTGTTCGCGCTCGACCCATTCCCGAGCTTCATCGCCAAACGTTCGTTCGAGGCGTGCAGGTCCCGGTTTCTTGGCCTGCAGGCGACCGACGGCCTCACGCATTCGCTTGCTTCCGCCAGGCGCACTGCCGACCCCGACCGGTCCGCGCACCCCGGTGCCAACGCTGCCATCAAAAAAATGAGTAATATTGGTTTGAGTTCCTTCGGCTTCGCGGCGATTCATATCCCGAATGACCGGAACTAAGATCTCGTCGGTGCGCTCCCGACTCCAGCCAACCGTTGCCATGAGAAATTCACGCAATCGCTCGAGATCTGGTACACCCCACTGAAACTCTTCCTTACTATCATCAACCTCCGGTCGCCAGTAGGCCTCCGTGACAGCAGGACTGGGAAAATTGGAGGGAAGGAAGAGTTTGGCAGCCTGTGCCCGCCGAAATCTCTTCCGAACTTTCGACGTCTCGGGGGCGCTAGAGTACTGAGCAGTAGACCACCATGCCGCAAATTCTGAGATGCTCGAAAATTCCGAGATAATTTCGAGGGCACTCACGGGCCCGATTCCAGCCAGGCCCTCAGTATAGTCAGATCCTAGTAGGTGGGCCATTGAGATGAGCTGTTCTCGAGAGAGAGAAAGCTCTTTCTCAATATCAGCTGCTAGGTAGCATTCGACAAACTTGTTGGAATTGAACATATTTTTATAAACACGGGTGCCACCGAAGAGAAATATATCGCAATCATCCGTGACGATACCATCAACTAGTCCTAATCGAATAAGTTCTGCGCATTGAGCTTCAGCTTCCATGGGTGCCGTTATGTAAGGTATGCCAAAGAGACTAAGTAGGGCTTGGCATTCTGTTATCATTGTCTGAGTAATTTCATCTGCATCTCGACGGTCTTTTTTTTGTTGAGACCGCAAGGCTTGTAGTTCCTTCTCGTAATCATGTTGATTTTCGATCTCTGTCTTATTATTAAGTTTTGCAGCGAAACGACCATGCTCTTCAGCTTCTAGGGCCAACTGGGCTAGGAGCTCTTCATCATCAGGATCACTATGTTCATTATATTCGTCTATTCCGATGACGATATTCTCATATTTATTGTTAACATTTGATGACAGAGGAATCGAATGGTTGGGTTGCTGATTAGATGGAAGTTCTGTAGCTTGTTCTGTGATATCAATATCTTCGAATATTATATTCGGGCTCTCAGTGTGCGCCAGATCTTTGGCTTCATTATTGATAGACATAGCACCATTTCCAGATGTAGAGGATACCTCTTTTGGTCTTCGGAATGACGACATAAAATCTAGTTTTTTCGGAATTTTATCTTCATAATCAGTCTCTGGCCATTCTATTTCGTCAGAATCCGCAGGATTGCTTTCAGGCTGCACAGATGCCCTATCAATAACCTCGTTTCGACTAGAGGTTATATTTGTGTGAGGCAGCTCATCATGAAGCTCTGGTAAAGTTGTATCTTTCTTTTGAGACATAGACTCTGAAGGTTTAAATTCGTCCTCTTCGTCCGAAGATTCAATAATCACTGGCATGTCATGCCTGAAGATCCACTTTTGTTCTTCAAGAATCTTTCCTCTTTCTTCGGCATCTTCTGCATTCAGTTCTTGATCTCTGCACCGCTGTAGTTCAATTTCTGACCTAATGTCACCCTGGCCCGAAAGCCAGGGTGGAAGAGGTTTAGATATTTTTTGGGTCTCTGAGTCTATCTCAAACCCTCCTGACATGCCCGCTTCTTCATGATTTGCTTTAGATTCAGGCTTCTTTTCTTCACGCGCACTAGTAAATATAGAGCCTAGCTTCTCAAATGGTAGGGGACCATCGAAATTATTTTGTGAGGCTAACACTACGGGTGCCATTCGCTTTTCAGATGGTTCTTGTTTTCGCGCTTTGGCAAGAATTGCCTGTAAATCAACTCCATCATCACTGTCATCATCATGCGCAGTGTTCTTGTGGTTTGGGTCTATAGCCGTAGCTTGATCGTGGATTATGTGGAATTTTGGCTTTTCGTCACTACTATTACTGTGCAGTGAGATAGTATTTTTTGGTATGGAATTAGAGTATTCGGATTCGATGCCGCTATCTTTTGGATGTGTAGAGTCAAAATTCCCTAAGTGATATTGCGGCTCGGGGTCATGTAGATCTTCATCAAATGGCAATAAAGACATAGCTACAGCCTGTCTTAATGCTTCGTCATCCTCGAGCGTATCTTTGTCGTACGAGGTTACCGCATTCTTGTCCTCCACAAATAGCGTATCCATGTCACTTTTCTGTTCTTCTGTCCGCAAATCATCGGCTTGTTCGGTAAAGTCATAGTTCTTGCGATCTAAATTTGTATACCAATCCGCATCTGACTTCTGTTTTACTGTAGGCAGTCTATTCAAACCTTCGACCGGGATGTCTTCAAATTCATCATCCTCATCACTGTCGATGCTGACTTGTTTGTTTTGGCCAAACTGGTCGACATCGATCGGTTTACACCTTTCCCCTGCCCGTTTCTGATCTGTAGACACAACACCAAGTGCCCATCCTCCTTCTGCTCCCTCGTTTTTTACCAGTACATATTCCCGACTAGAATCACCGGCTATGCGACGACTACCAACGCCGAGCAAATCTTCGTTCATTCCATTCAGATTCATAAGCCGCTGAGTTAGTTCGTTTCTTTCCTTCACTCGGTCAATCTGGAATCGCGAAAAATCCATGCTGTTTGGGAACATGACGAGCAGTTGCTCCTTGCTCAAACCCATTCGCAACCTACTTCGTAACCTTGCAGCATTGAGGATGTTGTAGCGATCAACGGTGGGTAGGCTCATGAAGAAGTCCCCATCAAAATCAATCTTACTAAAGTCATATAGATTGATATCTTCGCCATTTTTAAACTGTTTAGCATACATTTGGAGCTCTTCAGCACTCATTATGCGCGGATCGTTTGGTTGTCCCATGCCTTCAATACCATTGGTTAGTTCGGGAAGATGATAAGCGTCAGTCTTGTGGAACTTTCGATTCTGCAGCCGATCTTCGACTGACATGCCCATCTCGCCGTAATAAACTAAATCCTTGTCGGCTGGAATACTTTCGGCGGCTTCATCTTCTCGGAAAAGATTCGGGTCCTGACGACCAGACATACTAACATCTCCTTTCCATCCCTTCTCACTCCTCTGCTTCATCTGTAGTACCAATAATTTGCTTGCGATTCGTGCAGCGTCTTCTCGACGCCCCTCACGTCGTTGTTTGCGCGCCAATATGGTCTGGCGTTTTAGTACAGGTGCGCCACCGTCAAAAACAAAGATAGGCTTAATGCCATAATAGAGGAGTTTACAAATGCGACGAAAGAACCCGACAATATGAGAGTTACGAAGTGCATTTCCTTCCTTATCGCGTACTGCCTTGAGAAATTGATAAATCCAGATGGAGGCATCGACGGCGAGACGTCTCCGATTGAGTGCCGCGAGAGGCGTTGGGCGGGCAGATGGCGCAAGAATCGGCCAGAGTCCAGTCACTCCCATGTTTATGACTGCTCTTTTTCATCCAAACCATCGGATATTGAATGTAGTGGCGTATTGCTACGGCAGTATGTATCAATTGAGCCACCGAGCTTACAAAATCTCTACACGAGCGCTTCTTCTCATCTATCAATATTCATTTAGGCATATTCCCGTTACCTATCATGGCCTCTAGCCTAATTAGAGACTGAGTATGGTCTGCTGAACAATAGGTGGATTGGATGTTGGTTGAAACAAGTGATTTTAGACATCAGTGATATTGGGGTAATTCTAACATCTAAGCAGAGACAATTTCATACTAGCCCGAATCGGAAGTACATAGCAGGGCCCTCTCTTTTTGCCTGAGGCTTTAGTTTTGCAAATCACTAGGTCTGGCTTGTGTTTGTGTTTATTGTGCTACTTGAATCTATGACTATCTAGCACATTGGGCTCCTCTCTGACCCAGACCACACCTTGTATAGTGCTTCTATCCTCTTTTGTTACTTGAAAGATCATTGATATATTCCCCTTGATGAATAGCCATTCAGCTCAGTATTTACCCGTGGAATTCGGCCACCTTTTCCACGGAACCTTCTACCAAAAAAAATAAAAATGGTAGCAATGGAAACTGCGTGCGCGGGAAAAAGTCTCAAAAAACCTGCAGCCCCAGCCAGGCGAGGCCTAGACACCGGGACCACATGAGGTGCGCATATTCATCTATGTCTCCCTTCTTTGTAACAGTCGAGGCCGACTTGATCCAATCCACCATCTCCGTATCGGGTGCTGGGTACGCTCCGGAAACTCATCGGATGGCTTCTCCTCCGTGATCAAGGTTTGGTGATGAGTAGAGCTCCGACCCTACCATATGATCTGATCGTGGTTAGCTTCATGATAATGGTGATAAGGGAATGTGTTGAGAGATGAAGACGATACAGACGGCGAAAGCGATTGGGAATCCTTATCGAAGTGAGGACTTCGTTACTCAATCTCGGCACTGCAGACTCTACAGTGAGAGCTGGAGGTTCGTAGGGGACACCGCTGACAGGTGTTGAGAATAGTCCCCCTATACTAGGTCTGGCTTGATTCCTCCTATTCCAACTCTATATGACAAAGTAAGCTCTCAGTGCAATGCAACCCAGACTACGAACAATAAGACCAAAAGAAAAAAAAAATTTCTTGGGAGCTCTGTGCTGTAGATACGTTTGCTGAAACATTAAATTCTCGCGTTACACGTTATTTCAGTGTGAATAACTACCACCCCTGTAACATGTGGTGCTTTCTCAATCACTCAACCTACTCGATCTGAACATTGGGTAAAAATCTAACTTTACACTGATATGAGTACTAAATCCTAGTCCGCCTCCTGGTGGTGTTCTCCGGAATATTTTGAGTAGCCTGGGCACCTACTCCACTTGGGAAGGAGACACCTCAGATCACGTATCGCACGGAGAAAATTTTAAAGATGATGGAGGCATGTTTGGATAACTCAGGGTTTTTGAGACGTTTTCCTGAGTGGGTATTCACGGATGAGGGTTGACTTGGGGTGAAGAAAAAGCCGCCATAACTTCGCAGTGGTACTTGCAAATGAAATCTGAGACATGAGTGCTCTTCCCTTACGTTGAATCATCTATTCTGTACTTTTCTTTGATATTGTGTCATAGCCAGATAGCTGCAAACGTAATTAAAATCCGATGCAAAAAAAAACAAAAAAAGAGTACTAAATCCGAAGATATAGCCACCTTTCTGAAGGGTTCCAAGATGTCGACTGACCATATTCTGTATAGTTATGGAAAGATAAAGAGTCACTTTCTACATTCCTAGCCGTCTTCAATTTATTCCATATTTTGCACCTCGGGACAAAGAAGAGGTCGTGTTGAGAGTAGAGAAAAGTCTTGTAAGAGGGTGCGTAGTGTATCATAGCCTTGACTGACTTCGTTGTGCTTTGGAAATACAAGTAGAGAGACCCACAGTCTAAGCTACTATGTAACTAGTTGTGACTTATCAGTTATACAGCTGAATACAATATGAATTAAATAAAAAGGAGTAAAAATAGTTGTGAATTCCAGGCCCAAAATGACCCAAATGAGTTACCTGCAAAGATGCCTTACGTCTATTCATATATCCCTAAATAGTTTGAAATGATATCTGATTGCACATTTTAGATCCAATACAATACGAAAGAGGGTACCTGGAACCTAGATGAAGCGGAAGGTCTTACAGTCTAGAACACCATGTGTTTCCATTTAGAGCAAATATTGAGCGCCAAAAGACCCTTAGAATTGTTTGGTTGAATAGTGACATGTGAATAGCGGTATTGTTGGAAGAGAGCTACGAGAGAAGATATACTACCTGAGGCCTGGAAATCCCGGGCATATGGTAGTGTTCTCAAGGCGCTGGTCTCAGAAGTTTAGAGCTATCATCCACATAATGTAACACACCGGGCAAAGGGGAGGACGAAGGCTGAACACCTGTCAGTGGTGTCCTCTACGAGCCTGGTAGTGAAGTATTCTCCCAGAGCCGAGATTCAGCCACGAAAAAGGGTGGGATGGATTTTACTTGGTGGATTTTTGGTCGAAAAATCAGTCGACAGAAATTTGACAAACGCAGGAGAGTTGAATAAAAACTTATCACCATCAACATAAGATTTAAAATGGGCCTAGGTGTTTGTGGGGATCATATTCAAACAACCGATATGCTACAACGTGCGCTAAGGATACTGGAGATCGCTGTCTATCGAAGGTAAGGTATTAATAACTTGTAGGATTATAGCTTCTAACGAAGGATACTCAGATGTAATTCAACTGGCAAGGTGCCAGGTGGACAAGGGTCCGAGAATTAAAGGATAGTCGAGAGATACGAAGTCAAGAAGTTGAGTTGCTGAGCAAGCGATCAAGTCTGATAACTTAGGGTCAATAGAGGTACGAAAGATGTACCGGAAAATGAGAGACTGAGAATATAAGATTATATAAATGCTAGATTTCGAGATCAAAGATCAAAAGAATGAGTGATTGAGAAGCTGGAGAGCTACTCTGTGGCATCTCCAGCTTCCTTAAGTTTAGCTCAAGGCAGTACTAGATCTCAACAAAGGCTATAGCAGATGTAGTCATGACGCCAGCCCCTCCATCTCTAACTGTCAGAGTTTCCTCGGAAACATTCTCAGTGAACCTTTTCCCGAGAACCTTATCCTTGAAACCTCTTCAAGGATGCCTAGCCATAATGATACCTCTCCAACTCCTAATGTAATTGAAACGAAGCATTTCCCAGTCGATCCTACATCTGCGACGCACTTCCACACTCACTGCACTCACCGCACTACCTGCAAAAACACGCCCTAATGAGGAAAGTCATGATTGAAACAGGATTCAAGGACTCAGGTGCGTGGTTACCGAGGTCGAGGAGTAACTTGTGCTACGGCGTATATATAGCAGGTTACTGTATAGTCAGGCTTGGTATGATTCAACTCATAGGTAAAGTCTGAGGTGGTTCGGACATCTAGGTGGAACGAGGTTCATTATACTTATATGGTATTTAAACTGATCCAGCTCGACTCTATTCGCGCTCAAGTATCCATAGGAGTGCGGAGGGTGCCAATTGCCTAGCACGTCAATGTACAAACAAACCCGCAAGTTACTCTGACTATTATTTTTTAGTTGATAAACTCTCTAAATCATGATCAACTTACTCTTAATCAGATTAGAGACTGTAATGTGCACGTCTGGAAGGCTACGGATTCTAATGGCGGTAGCGAAGCCGATCCCCAGCATTTTGGAGGGGATTTTAGATTTCCGCGTTGAACGCGATTCAAATTAGATATTGAATAGCCATTAAAGTAGCCAAAACTATTCTTCCAACTGAATCGATAACCAAGATTCTATTGTAGACATCTCTTGGCATGCATGCCGGGCAAGATGTCGCTCATAACATGAGTCAAATTTTTAGCTAATGCAGATATTTTTGGAGCAGATTCAGTCTGCTTCCCGATGGGAGTTGTAGACATTGTTGAAATGAGGTCCGTAATACTTTCTATAGTTTCTATCCAGATTATTAGCTGGGAACCCTACTAATAACGGGGTTTTCAGTGAGATAGTTACCGCTCATATTGTTTTCCAAAGCATCACCCTTTTTATGGAAATTTATTCCGTTCATCTTTTCCAAAATTCCTTTGCCAGTAGTTTGGATATTTGTTCGGCTGACAATATATGGCCCTATAGGCATAGCAATAAGTCCAGTGACCATGAAGACGAGAAGCATTAAGAACTGCATATTCATTTATTCGTGTTTAGGATAGATATAAGTCAAAAGTAGGTGAATAATGAAAGTTGATTTAAATGAGTTGAATGAGTTTGATACTATCAGAGGAGATATGGATACTTTTATAAGTCGACCGCCTCTGTTATTTCTCGTTCAGGACTCCCTCTTATTTTTTAGCACCTGATAAACATGTGGTCAGAGTACGAAGCTAGAAACATAGTTTGGCTTGATTTTGTAGCTAGTTTGAGCGGATTTGTCAGAGTCGGATAAGAGTGGTGCCTAAAAGTGCGATCTGGACTGATCTGAACCATCCTAGGAGGATCAGCTGCCCTTTATCCACTATTTGTGTGACGATTGCTTCTGTGAGCCACTGTTCTGGAATCAACGCAGATTTGTGCAAAAAAGGGTTAGTGACCGTGGAAAATATTGATCACCCTAGATATGTTTTCGTATCTAAAATATGTTAAGATCTGCGATAAGAGCAGATAGGAATACTATAGTTGAGGATTTTCAGATTGCAGTTGGAGGGAAGTAACATCCGGCTTTACATGAAGAAATGTAGCCAAATTGGGACCATGTGGCACGCAGCACTGAAGTCTTGGATGTGTCCAAAAAGGAAAGTGCCGAAGTAATGCATTGGGACCTATACATCAAGAGATTCAGAAAAGATTAGAAACTGAGTTACAAAGTTACATGTGAATAGCCCCATTCTTGGCAGGACTTAAAACACGAGTAAAAAAATTGCATCTTCGTTGCCTCGAGAGTTTGGAGCATGAATATGGTAGCAGAGCTGTTAATGATGTATTACTGTAGCAGGTGATGATAGAGCGGTATTTAAAGCTGAAGTAATGATATGAATGAGGCCAAAAACAATCTGTTGGTTATCTGGAAAAATGGGCACGTTCCTGTAACCCTTATAGGTGCTACATTTGAAGGAGACCCAGGGTATATAGTACAGGCCGGTTTAGTGTGGAACCTTTCACTTCTAATTCAACTCTAGAATCTTTTAAAGCTGCTGGAGTCATGGCAGATATCTTTGGCCACGTTCTGTTTTACTGTTGTACTAAAATGGATTCGCAATTTTTGCCATCTGAGATGAGATGTGGATATGACGTGCTGGGTGAACAAATGGATATGTTGTGTTTTGACGTTTATGATAGTGGGGGAATATATCAGCCGAACAGTATAAGCCAAGGATAGAATTGTGTTGTGAGTTGTTGGTTGGCTTCGTCTCTTGGAGTAAGCTACTGTTGACTATTTGTATATTAACATACTGCAGAATCGATATCAATCGCCTTCCAACTGGACTTGCACTGGATCAGATTAACTAGCACATGAGTATAAAGTTTCCCTCATCCCATCCTAGAGGACAGAATCATCATAAAACTTATCTCTGCAATGAATCATTTTAAGTCCTGCTGCCTAGAATAAAACACACAAAACATTTGGGTCAACCTCCGCACTGCACAACAAAAAACCTTATGGAATCTTTTGGCTCCTCCAAAACGTCCATGAGCCACAATTTATCCTCATTATCCAATTCCATGTCGAAATTATTGGCTTTTCAAACAGGCCCAATTTCTAATGAAGCCTGTTGCTTTTTGAAGATATGGCATTGTCTAGATTCTACTCCCCTAGGTATACTCATGGATCTTCTAACATCTCAATCCTAGCAAACTTTCTAGAGCCAGTATCCTTCTCTGTCAAGTGATAAGTCGCCACCGATTGAGTTCTTTTCTGCACTGACTGAGAGGAGGACCCAAGACCTCAATCGTATTTGTAGCAGATTGTAACTATTTTTTGGTTAAATTAACTGCAGAATGTCGCGTATTTATAATTTCCGGCTAGAGCTACGGTTAGTGTCATGAAATAGCTAATAGCGCGAGTACTTTCTGTCAGTTTATTGCCGTTTGTTTTGAAGTTTTCTCGAGCTTTCAATTCAATTATGACGCGGGCTAATCTGTTTTAGTCTATCGTCAATTCTGCCACCGAGTTGAGCTGCTTTTGACACGGCTTGTTTAACCTCCTTTTTTGCGCAAGGCCTATATTAGTTTTGGGTTCCATCAGTGTTGCTAGCGAAGCTACTTCCGTGGCCATCTCTCGCAACACCGTGGACACTCCAGGAGGATGAGATAGATCTTCCCGACTGTAGAGCCTCAGCTGCCACAGAGTTATCGAAAAGATATACGTATCGCTGCATGTTTGATGTTGCTTTTATTCAGATTCAAATAAAATGATAGCCCTGGGTCCTTGCGTTTCAAAGAACTCTGTACTCATAAGTTTGTCGGGACACTCTTTTTATTACTGTACTTGGATGCTGAATAATTTTTCGGATGACTAGAAAGGCTTGTTTTAGAATAAAAAGCCAGTTTACAGCTATAAGTGAAACTTGGTTAGAAATTGAGAAATATTGCTTCAGACTCGAGAGCCCGACATTATGCCCAAGTTTCCAATACGGTCTTGTATTTTTTCGTGATCAAATTTGTCTTCAGCTATCTAGCTATGAAATTTTACTGGGACTGTGCACATGTTTCATAACTCTTTCGACCCCAGGCTCATATTCTTGGTTTCATTCACAAATACCACTTTGAAGAATGTTTGCTCACACAAAACAGTCAGCTTTCGTCCAAAAGTTTTCATCAACGGGATTTGAAAGATGTAATATATCATGCCACCACAGCAAAATTTATGTTTGAGTACTTGGCTTGAACCAGCAGTTCCCCATCTTGAGTTGAGTAGGTGTCCAAGCTCATGCCATCTACCACCGCACCATCTAGCGATGGCTGAGTTCACAGCTTTACCCGCACTCTCGCAATCAAATGAATGGTGCTCACCATACTCAATGTGGATAACTCGCAGCGTAAGCTCAAAATCCCAAAAGATTCAAGGATATATATATCCTGAGCGCCTTATTCTAAATTTTTCCTGATATTTATCATGTTAGTCCTAAAGATCTGCATCCTAGGGTTGAGCACCACTATTTATCTTTTACAGGTATTCTTATTCTCGTAGGCGTGTAGTTTATGGCCAGCTAAGGCCAGAGAATGAATAAATGAGAGGCGTAGTCAATGAAAAGACGATGTACTAAGTCATGCTTGTAAATTTGATGAGACTTTTGTGGGAATTGACCCCATTGGCAGTGAGAGATTGGTGTGGTTGGGAGTCTCGTATCACTGCTTGTGGGCCAGCTCTTTCGGTTTGCGGAGTTTGTTTTAATATAGCTCTGGAGGACTATTTCACTCCTGAGTTCGATGATAAAACCACGGACAGGTATTGAATATTTGCCCTCATTTTACCTGCACTCATAGCGCCCAACTATCACCCCTACGAGTATTTTGAACATGACAATTGTTTACTGCATGAGTTGATGAGATTCTGGGACATGTTCGGACGTATCGAGGAATCTGCGCTTCGGCATTGATATATCTAAATTATTGAAGCGCCAGATTTCATGTGATTCAACGCGTTGGTGAAATGTGAGATAATGATCAAGTGTAGGATGTTGTGGTCGTCGGGCCGGGGCTCATCTACGCGTGTATGCTTAAATGGCTCGACACGTTTGCAGCCTCGAGATTATGGAGAAGGTGCCATTCGTCTAGCACACAGATACACAAGACTACTCGTCATCCTTGCTCGTCCTGGAAGCTCTACTATACCCAAATAAGGGTCATTCAACATGTATACTAAGCGCTTATCATGTGCGATAGCTAGACAGCTAAATACACTTTAAATGGTCTAAAACAACTTTATCCAAACACCTCTACTACAACGCAGTAAAAACTGAATTCTTCATCTTCCAGCGGAGCCGATGTAATCGCTCAATACATTCTGGACATCTAGTATAGCTCAGAAAAATCGCATTCGAATCGAAGTTGAAAGCAACCTCAAGCATATCTAAAGTCGACGACTTCTCGTCAATGTGGGACCTATCATTCTCACGCTAGTTCTCTACTTCAATCTTACCTCGCCAGCTCGTCTCAAATACCGATAATGGCCATACTCCAATTGCCATCAGGAACTTGCTTCACCAAAAAATGGCCATCTCCCACTACAAATCTACGAAGCTATGTATTCCAGTGAAGAGGAAACTAAGTCATGATATACAAAGCCCAGGTCTTGGTATTTGGGGAACTGCTGCTCCAACGGGGCTTTCCACCTTGAAGGGGGACAGGCAGCTGGGACGTGGGACGAACGAGTGAAGAGGTCACAAATGGGCATGCTGGGACGCACATTTTTCAAGTGTTTCCGACTTTGGGGTTGTCGTCGGCGCCGAGGCTACGATTCTGATAGTGCCAATGACACACTAAAAACAGAAAACGTTCCCTTTGGTGGATATTAACGATTGAGGGAATGATAAGAGTCCCTAGCAGGCAGGCCTCGAGTGGTATCAGTGATTGCACCAAATGCATGAGTGGTCCAAATGTCAGACTGAATTATCGTCGTATATAGTCGTCGGGGAAGGAATAGCCTTCTACATGTCATGTTCTATGAGTGCTAAGCTTTTGCCCGTCACGAATAAACATCTATTCATCCATCCATACATACATCCTCTATTAAGATCTCAGGCTACTGCAGAAATGCCACATGATGTACGATGCAATGACTCGCAAGTCGAGGTGAAGTCTACATGGACACGATCAGTCGAGTATATCATCTACCCGCAGACTGCCATGCATTTGCTATTGCGCTGCGCGTATTAACTAGCATTCTTGCCATCTTTTGCATGCAGAAAGCTTGACGCGGGCCACTTAGCTCACAACCACGGCAGCGAGATGTCTTCGGACTCATGCACGGCGTCCAGCAACCATAAAGCTCAATGGGAGTATACCATCTACCCCAGATTGCCGCCGCATATCCCCTTGTTGGCCTGATCCTTTCTTTCGGGTCACGTGGGAGGCTGTGAGGTACATGGCGGGGCCGAGCTCTTATCATCGCCATCGCCATCATCATCATTTTCATCACTATCGCCTACACTTGCACCATGTCCGCTGCCGATTACCTTTCTTCGCTCCTTGGTCGCTCGTTACGCGTGACGACGAGCGACGGGCGTATCTTTATTGGAAATTTCAAGTCGACAGATCCTGTGCGTAACTTCCTCCTGCCGCTGCCCTGGCCCTAACCTGCGCGCGCCCCTTACAGGACCGCAACATCATCCTCGCCCAAACCTACGAGTACCGGCTCCCACCCCCGCCCGCAACCGCAGCTGAAGCTACTGCTGCTACGTCCATTGTAGTCGCTGCCAGCTCTTCGCGCTACCTCAGTCTCATCGTCTTGCCAGGCCCACACATCCGCCGCATTGAGCTAGACGAATTTGCATCACAGTGCCGTCCTCGTCTCGACGAGCGCCTCGACCAGCCGCTCTAACGAGTGAGCTCTCCCTAGAAGGGGTTGTAGACGGCCTAGTTTCTCGTCGCCCATGGGCAAAATACCAGCCTCTCACTCGGCCTCCGGAAAGCTAAACTTCTCACTGATTTTAATCTTGCCAACTCGATAGCTCTACGCTAGACTACACTCTTGCAAAACTGCGATACACATATTATCGGGTGAGATATTCCTGGAACGTGCGCCAACAGCATACGATCTTAGAGCACAAAAGCGCATGGCCAAACTGATTAATTGAAAAGTCAAACTTTATTACTTTCATTCACCCTCCTTTTACATAAATCGAGGCCATATGAGGCCTGATTATCCCTATCATGTTCTGAAGCCCATTCCTGGAATGACCATGACGCCCTTAACGAATGACTGAATCCCGCGACGAGGCAGAAATCTCATGAGACGAGACTGGTTAGATAGATAAAACTTCCTGCCTATCATGACTGCCTTGATGAATCATATTGATATTGCGTAAATCCCCAGCCATGTTCCCTTCTCCCTCACGCTCTTCCTCTTCCTCTACACCAACCTCTTCCTCTCCAACTCGGTGACCGAAACTCGAGGGGTCCCATGATTCATGGTCAAGCGGGGAATCTTGGCTGGTCAAGTCATGTCGTTCGGCATTACGGAGGACCGTGTTGCGGCGTCTTTGGGACAAGGCACGGGACCGTGTTGAAAGATTAACATCTACCTTGGCTTTGGCTTCGATCCAGTTAGTTAGAGCATCTTCACAGTCCTGTACAATAGCTTTCGATGCTTCGTAGCCATCGTAAGAAACACGCGTTTCGCCTGGAGTCACGGGGGATTCATCAATAAGTTCCAATAGATGCTTTCCATAGCCGGCAATGATGGCCACTTTTTCACAGTGTTCGCGGAGAGCATCGAATTGGTAGTTGAAGGCAGCCTTCAGCTTTTCCCGTGTAATATTTGACAGTTGAGCTTCTGCCACAAGTGATTCAGCTTCGGCTCGTACGAGCTCCTGCTCGAGCACGATAATCTTGGAAGAGTTGGGCTCTTTGTATTTGAGCTGAGAGATTTGATCCAAGAGCTTTTGCTTGCCTGAGAGGGGTTAGGACTATTGGTTAAGTTGTGGGATAGAGACATACGATCACGGCTCGGTTGAACTGAAGCTTCAATATTACGAATAGACTTTATGGTAACTCGATACTGATCATAGCGATCAAGGTACTGGTCTTCAAGCTCGCCAATTTCGTAGATCAAGACGCCGATTTTATCTGTTACGTCCGAAACATCCTCATCACAGGCCTCACCCCATATCGAAATTTGTTGCTACTAGAGTCAACCGTCTCATCTTCGAGCCGGCGTCATATACTTGCCGCCACATCCATGCGCTCGTGCGCCACCAACTCCATGCTGCGCATGACATTCTTCTCCATCTTAACCAGCTGCGCCAGCTTCTTGGCTAGATCTGGTCCGAATTGTCCGGCGGCCTGCCGGCGCAGCACATGACCTACCGGGCCCATCAGTTTCGGGTGCCGGGAGTTACAGGAAATTGGCACATACCGAGTCCGCTCTTTCCAAAGAAGCGCCCACTCTTCGTACTTGCCGGGGGCGGCGGCGGGTTTTGGAGTTGAGATGCCTACGTGTCGCCGTCAGCACGGCACGCACGCGCAACCACAAGAGAGGCAGCCGCTTACCGTAGGCAGCCGGGTCTGACGCATCGAATAAGTGCGATGCATGTTGGTAAGGCGCAGGAACGGAGGCTCTGGCCTCAGCGTTCAGTAGATGGCGGCCTAGAAGAGCCGGGAATACGGGTCGGAGCCGATGGGCAGTGGGCGGTCTGTGTGCAATAGATGATAGGTGAGCCGGAACGGCGGTGCAGACCAAACGATGTCGGTGAAGAAGCGCTCAAAGTAATAATATGGTGCGAGAGGGGATTGAGGAGAGAGGGCGGGGCAAAGGAAGCTCGTGTTCCGCCGCATCCTTTAGGGCGCGCTCGCTCGCCTGCGCCTTCCGAGTCGGACGCGTGGAGGGGCCATGACGTCACTGGGGTTCCCCATAGTCACGACGCGGTCTGGCGGCAGCGACAAGGCATAGCTGCGTCGTCCATCTCCCGCGCCCCCACGCCCCTCGTGTCTAGGCCCATAGTCGACATTATGCCGGCTACGTCGCATGTACGATGATCGTGCGACGGCGAGACCTCAAGGATGTGGAGCCATTACGACGCGCTATCTCGTGTTGCGAGACTTCGTGCGCATTGAGGTCGCGCGCAAATTGAGTCATCTTTTCCGTACTTTTTCTCTGATTTTGTGTCATAGCTTGCTAGCTGCATACGCTATTCAAATATGATACCAAAAAGAGCGAGGTTTGTTCATTGTACCACTTGATTCTATGACTATCTAGCACATTGAGCTACTATCTGGCCCAGGCCACATCATGTACAGTGCTCCTTGCCTCTTTTGTTACTCGTAAGATCATTGATATATTGCCTGTGATGAATAGCCATTCAGCTCCGTGTTTACCCGTGAAATTCGGCCACCTTTTCCACGGAATCTTCTACCCAACGAAAATAAAAATGGTAGCAATGGAAACTACGTGTGCGGGAAAAAGTCTCAAAAAACTTGTAGTTTCAACCAGGCGAGGCCTAGACACCGGAACCACATGAGGTGCACATATTCATCTATATCTCCCTTCTTTGTAACAGTCGAGGCCGACTTGATACAATCCACCATCTCTGTATCGGATGCTGGGTACGCTCGTGAAACTCATCGGATGGCTTCTCCTCCATGATCAAGGGTTGGTGATGAGGACTCCGACCCTACCATCTGATCTGATCGTGGTCTGCTTCATGATAATGGTGTTAGGGGGATATGTATAGGGACCAAGAAGATATAGACGGCGAAAGCGATTGGGAATCCTCATCAAAGTGAGGACTTTGTTACTCAATCTCGGCTCTGCAGAATCTGCAGACTCTACAGTAAGAACTGGAGGTTCGTAGGGGACACTAATGACAGGGGTTGAAAATAGTGCCCCAACCAAAAAGAAGAGATTGCGCGCGACGAGAGCTAAACATGCTGGCCTTGGTCTCCGGTTTTGGATGAATTAAGATGTTGTAATTAAGATATTGCTCTACGAGCTCTATGGTTAGAGCTAAGGGAGGAAATATTTACTGATGAAAAGAAATAAAAGAGCCACCGAGATATACCAACCCTTGCGTCTTGACGGCGCTCCCGTCATTAATGCTGCCGAATTTGTCAATCAATATCACCGGTTGCAGGCTCCTAACCTCCACGAAGCACCGCAGCAGTGCTGACTGCCGTAATCAGTAGATACGCCATCTCTGAATCATATCCGGCTCCCACTCCGCCCCCCAGCGTTTCAAGATATTCCGACAACGATTTAAGTCCTGTCCGAGTCGTGCCCAGCGGGCCTTCTCACATCCGTCACGGGCCCGCGTACATCGTTGCGTCTTCCGCTCACACTCGGCAATAGCCATCTCGACGCCAGCAAGCACACTCTGCTCTTGGCCATCGCCAGTGCGGCCAAAGGAGTTTACCATAGCCCGCCGCCGACTCTCTTCCTCTAGCCGCAGCACGCACTCTAAGATCTCGTAAAACCCACGCGTAGCGATATTGTAGACGAGTGAATTCCCATTAGGATCCACAACGTGAAGTGCCTCGCGAAGTTCCGGACTAAATATTAAGAGACGGAAGAGTTCGGTTGTTTGTGCAGGAGTCTCTTCGGAATCTCTGTTCTGCCGTTTGTGAGAGACGAGTAAATGTGCAGCCGTCCATCCCTGTTCATCTGGCGCGTTGCGATCGATGCCTCCATAATCACAAGCACAGAGCATCTGATCATGATAAGAATCAGAGTGCGCATCCGTTGCACCACAAACTCGACATTGGTAGAGGAAACACGAGGATTCTTGAGAGTTTCCACTGTTGCCGCGAGCAATGTCAACAAATCCATATGGACGAGTTATGTGGCGGCCACCAGCCGAAGCATTAATAAAATGATTGATTTCTTTGAGGCCCGCCGAGATTTTTTCTCGAGCTTGTACCGAGATGGTCTCTTTCTTTTCAATTGCCTCTTGCATTATGTGTGTGATTTTCTTGCCGTTGGTATCAAAGGCTAGGAGATAGTGAATGACATTTGGGAAAATTTGCAGCACGCGGAGATAATCTCCATACTCAAGAGGCTGTGAGAATAGGTAGTGAAGAAGTGTACGGCATTTGGAGTCGCGAAGCGACAAATACTGAGGAAAGTATGCAAGAAGCTCGACCAGCCCATCACCAAGCCCTTGTACATCTAGGACATGTAGTGGGCTTTGAGAGAAGACATTAGAGCCAAATGTAGACCATTTGACATCCCATAGAACAGTTTTGAAGTATTCTAAGCTCACGCCAGCGGCCATGAGAAAAGCGAGTGGGTGATTACCGGCGTAATCTGGCGAGGCGAGGTCCCTTAGAAGAGATATTGTCATAGCAAAGATATCCAGTCGAATACTCTTTGCGTGGATCATAATAGCATGACATTGAGAAAATCCACAAATGGAGCAACGGGAAAACGACTTATCCCAGGAACAATGGCTGTGATCTTGTTGGCAGGGAATAACACGTAGGACTGAGTTCCAGAGTCCTTTTTGGGCGTCATGCTGGGGCGAACTGACGAGACTATATTGTAGGAAGGAATGAGAGGTTTGTGGCGGCGCGTCTTGAGTCGAAGGGAAAGTTTGTTGCGGCGATAGAATCGATTCTTGACTAGCTTGACTGAGGGAACTCATTGAAGTTGATAATGATAGACGGTTATTAGGTGGCTCATCGAAATAAGACTCACCGCTCCAGGATGTGCCACTGTTTGACCACGTCGATACGGCCGTACAAGAATTATATTGAAATGGGTCACATGTGCTATCAGCGTCGAAAGCGTCACCATGGGATGTGACTGGGGGGAAGAAGCCAGTAATTGATAAGGGTGAATGATATGTATCGTGCATCACGGGGTAGAGCTGAGCTTGGCATGATGGAATCGAAACTGGCGAGTTTACTTGAGGAAGCATATATTTGGTAGTGATAGCATCGATGATTCTACCAACACGAGCGTAGAGATCCATTACGACTAGCTCTCTCTCGACACGATCGACCGGGAAGAACCAGTCCCGATAACGATTGGCGTATGTCTTATAACTACCTGCGGTCAGATGAGAGGCATATTTAATGAAGAAAGACCTACGACCACTCTAGCCTCGACCTCATGATTTGAGCAATCTGTGTGAAGCTTCTCATGGTCATGTACTGGCGAATGAGTTCTGGTTGATGCGTAAGCTCCCAATTCTTCTGTGCACGAACACCCTTGGGGTCCCGCAACTCCATAATCTGTCGGCAAGTCTCGTCGGTTAAGGCAAAGCATTGTTCTAGGGTAGGTAAGAGATAATTCTTCCGGGTCATGGTGTACTGGTGAGACAGTGGTTTGAAAGGTAGGCCAAAGCCATGTATCTAAGTTGAACAGCAGCCTTGGGCCTACAGGAGATACTACGCCACCTCTAATTAAGCACGTAGACTCAGAGCAGGCAAGAGAATTGACAAGAAAATGTTGATATGCATTTGCAATGGCACTGAATGCAAGAGCAGCGGTCGTGGGACGATAGTGCGAGAGGTGTGGGCTCAAAACATTTAAAGTCAGATTATTATCAGTGGGAATTGGAACGGAGATAGTCGCAAGAAATAGCCATATATCAATGTGGTAATAAATGAATTTTGAGGCACAGCGTGACAGTCTAGAGGAAATGATTTACTCCTTTCTGCTGTGTGCCAGCAGGGAAGGGGTCAGGATTTGTGAACGAGGTTAATCGTAGGTAGTGAAGGTAGATGATCCGCTCGAATTCTTGTCCCCAGCGATCCATAGGCTGGAGATGGTGGCGGCTTCTCGTTGACTCCATAGGTCGATGCTGACGAAATGAGGGTATCAAGGCACAAGAAAAAGCAATGTGTCCTGATTTTGGAGGCTCTGTCGAACCAAATTTGCAGCCGTGTTCAAGGGGGGGGGGAACGGGTAATTCTGAGTTAAATGCTCTAGTTTTAGAGCGTAAGAGGGGGGAAATGCAGCTACAGAAGAAATGCGATTACTCCGTGTGCAAAGAAAATCGTAGTAGGCTTTTGTCTGAGTATCAGTCGTCGGGTTCTTTCGCTTTTAATAGGAGAGCCAGGTCTCGTCAGGAGTGCTAGCTCCGAAGGGGAGAGATATAAGTATTCGAAAGAGAATGAAATGCCAGATTGAAATCAAGGCCAAGTTTAGGTAGAAACGAGGGACAATTACCTTTTCGTGGCCAGAAAAAAAGCTTCAATGCGTTCTATCTGGATCTGGGAGGTTCCAGGCAATGATAATCATCTACGGCCCAGTTAGTGGAGAGACTTGTGTGAGATGACTCATTTGCTCTCACGAGGCCTGGACGTCGATAGCGTGTCTTTGAACTTCAAAATTTTGAAAGCATAATGATTATGTAGCTTTTCATATACTGATATGAAGAAACAGTATTCAGGAATAACAGTGGCTAATAACTAGAGAAATTGGCTCTGGTCATGATGAGCACCTAAACGGCAAGTTTCTCAGGTACATGAGATAATAGTGTCATTAAACGACGACGTGAGGGTTGAATTGATAGAGCTAGCAGGTAATTGGCATGACCCATGATATGAAAAAGTCTCGCAACAGCTCAATGTTAGCTGAGGTAACACGGAATCGGCACATCGGGCTGTGATCCTTCAAATATTGTCTTAATGCAGCCTCCACGAACTGCATGGCTTTGACATGCAGATGGCTGCCGGCTCTGGGATCATGAGCCCTTGGCCGGTAGATCTCGGCTATCGAACGCATACGGGAAAGTTTGTAACGCTCGTCAGATAAATTTAGGAAAGGATTGTGTCGGATCGTGCGGAACTAACGCAGATATTAGTTGTGATCAGTGTCACGAACCACTTGCGTGACTAGCACCTTTTTTAGTCTATGCAAAGTACCATTGTGGGATCATAGATGTACGTTGCTAACCTATGCCGTTTTATTGTGAAATTGAATTTGAAATAAAAAGCCCCAAGACACATATGTCGTCCTTCAAGCAATTCAAGTGCCTTGAAGGCTAGAAATTTGAGACTTGATAGCTACCATCTTTCCCGGTAGACTTGTCTTTTACGATGATCAGAGAATAATTTTCTTGGGTCAAGCGTCAAGGATTACTATTCCCTACTCTGTTTATTGATATAAAATTCTTTGATAAGAGTAAGGCATAGATTTATCGATAGGTAGGTTATGTGATATTATCCCCAAAATTAGAAAACAGAGTAGATAAATTCGAGAGCTTAGGCGAATAAAATCAGAAGGCGTGTGAATGCCAGCAAACTCAATGAGCTGTGCCTCCGTTTAAGTTAGTAATACAAGCTAGTAAGTTGGCTGTCCTTGTTGGCAGCTGGGCTTGCGTCTAGTTCCACCTAGTCCATTGTGTGTAGCTACGGAACCCCTTCCATTGGTAGCATGGAAACTCTGAAAGCATTCATGTCAGACGCTTAAGCTGATATAATTTACTTCGCTGATTGTCGCATTATTTGACTAGATCTTCACTATCAATGAAGTCAGATATGTGGTTGAGATAGTTGTCAGGTTGAAAGGTAATACTACATATTCTCTGAAAGCCCACAAGACCATAATTAAGGCACCTGAGATTTTATCGATCTAGTATTCTCTCAAAAGTGCAATGAGGATGAAGCATCTTTGCGTTTAAGATGTGAAGGAGAGCTTGCTTTCTATGACGTCTAATTAAGCCATAATTTTTTAAAAGTCGCCAGGGTAGGCTAAGTCTGTCGGCTATTCGCGTGGTTCGCGGGTTGTGGCCCCGAGAAATTATAGTTCAATCACTAGAAAGTTGAAGTATAAAATTGGAAAAGAGAAATCGTCCCACTATCGATCGTTCATGGGAAATAAAATCGCAATTCAAAACCTGAATGTGTTAAAAGGAATGAGGGAATGGTGGTCTGTGAGAAGAAAAGATTCCAGCCAAGAAATGCTGCAAAACAAGAAGGCATGTTTATAGATGCTTTCTATGAGTCAAATCGGTGAGCCAAAAATGATTGTGACCTAAGTTGTGCGTCTGAAATAGCAGGTAAGATTGGCAGAGAGGCCGCATTATTAACATGTTGAACAGCTTCACTATGAGCTTAGTAACTATCATTAGACTAGGCGGGAGAGGTTAAAATCGATATGTATCTCTACAGCGCAAGTTTATTTAGCATGTTGGTGTTTCTGGTAAATTTATAACTGGTAAAGAGTATTGTACGGCCGTGGCAGAATCCAATGGGTTACTTGGTCCCTTAACGAAGGCTGATGCGGATAGAAGTCAATTAGAATGATCACCGCTGCACACTTTTGGCAGGTTCATACAAAGTCTCGAGACATCCTGCGGATTTGGTTCTTCTCTTTTATTCGTGGACCCTGAGCCTGAAAAATAGCCTTTACCAGTGCCAATGTAATACCCCGATGAAACGCGACGAACCGGTCTAACAACGTCGAATATTCCCTTATCGCCCAGGCCTTGAACTTGACACATTACAGGTAAATGATCTGACTGAATTGCGGGTTGGGGCTTCTAATCTAAAAGTAAAATAATTAGTAGCATGTTTCCTGTGGAGCTAGGCGAGCCTGACAGCTATGTAGGACGACGAGAGAACAGCCGAGTATACTTCATATTTCTCTTTAGCTCAGCAAGAGCCCTGCCTCGTTGTTCATTCTCCAATTCATACACGAGGAGTACTGCGTGGATAGACAAGCGACCTATTTTCCATAGCCATTAACCTAAAATGAAGGAAAACGCCACTTCCCAGCCCCCCTCCCTTTGATGGAGATCCAAATGTTGAAATCCAGGGCAGCCAGACAAGCCGTCGGCCCCAGCCATCGCTTTCGTCAATGACCAGCCACTCATTTTTAAAGGGGCAAGGGCTCGCAGGTGATACGACGAGGTGAGTAGAAAGATTACGTTGGCTTAAGCTAAATATCTAGCGCGCGTGGGGTAAAGTTTTGACTTCAATTGTCGGGAGGATTATAACGAGTCCGGAAGGTAGATTCTCGTACCGCCTACGGCCACCAAACGGGGATGGCACAGTTGCTGAGGGTGGGACGAGGACGCAAAAAGCCACTGAATCGACTGGGAGGGAGATGTGCAGAGACGAAGACAACACCTGATAACTAGCTATCGATTCTGCCTCGCCAAACGTGGTGATATTCCCGTAGATCAAGTGGGGCTAAATGCTGACAAAAATTTCTCCAGGACCATAATGGTTGATATGCATTGAGGCGTTAGCTCCTTGACCTTGAGAGTTCATCGACAGGCCTCGGCTGCCTTCATCGTCGTGCACCAAAATCTGTTCAGTTGCTAGCTCCTAGGAGACTGCACTGTGTACTTGTGCCAGCTAAAACGGGCCTCGGAAACCCCGCAGCCCATCATCCCCATTTCAACGATTCGAATGCTGCTATGGAGTGCACATGCAATGAGGAGGCATCTTCAACCCACTTCAATCACTGCCGACGACGTGCGTATGCGGATGACATGCGTTGACTAAGATGCAAATCCTACGCTCTGGGCTAGGATCGGAGATATTTGCCGTGTATTACTATTTCACAGGAAGGGAAACGGCACCAGGAGTGTAAACTTATAACCATTTGTTTGAAATCGCTAGTGAAGGGAAGAAGCTTTGTATCGACGTTTGGTTTCATGTATTGTTGCAATTGCTAGTACTAGATCAACTTGTACGCGATTCGCGCTGTGCAAATAAATGGGGCCGTACACAGTGATCCCTAACGGCTCCATTGATCTATGTCCCCAGCTAACTTTAAGCTTAGCTTAAGATTCCGAGTTTGACAAAAAATAACGGCTAGTGGCACGAGGGATTGTATGGCTTAGGATTCAATGAGCGAATGCTTTCAAGACTCTCTGTCAAGCTGATTCACCACAGCAAGGCTCTTAAGTAGGTCTATGTAAAAGGCTATGAGTTAGCTAGCAAATCCACAAGTCTTTATAATGAGCCATGGGGCCAGCTTGAAAAGTCCAATCATGGTAATTTGGAGCGCATGCAGACCGTTGACGCCAAAGGGCGTGACTCATGCTCATGCCGGGGCCCTTGTCGAGATCACCGGAAAATGGTTACTCCGGCATGAATCCATTTGGCAAAGTTCTACGACACAGTATACAACGCGGTTAGTAGACTTCTAGTGACGATTGCTGCAGAAGGAGACGCAAGACTAACGTGACTTTTTACAGTAATATGTGCCACTTCATGTCTAAAACCTGCAGACCTCTCAATAATGCGCCTGACTAGGTTTTCCAGGAAAGTAAGGATGAGTCGACTCGTCGCGTCAACCATCTAGAGGCACGAATGCCGAAGGCTTGATAGAAGCCGGTATCTCTTCGCCGGCTAAAGCAACCATCAAAATAGCCATGTTCGTCAAGTTTAAATGAACTTGATCTCAGCAAGCTACTTATGTGATGAGTAAGCTCATAAATGTCACGAGATGAAGTTACGATCCAAAAGAGCCAACGAAATTTATTACGCATCTGCGAAATAATAATGATACGAGAGTAATTTCTGGGCTCATTATGGAGTGGTTTGACGATCGATCATGTTAGTTACGAAAAGAGTGATGATATCCTATGAATTGGTCCCTCTGCTGTTCATTTTATTCCTAATAGACAGTGCAGAACCCATGAGAAGCACATCATGTGATCCCCACATGATGAAGCATCTCCTTTTACGATCTATGAACCGACGATAAGTATATGATGCCATTGAGGAAGGCTGGCAATAGAAAGATTTTAAACAGGGTGTACCTTGGCGTGCCCTCAGATCAACATTACACATCAACCGCCTGGAGTAACGGCAGGATTTTCAGCGCTAGAAGTCGAACAATAAAATGAGGCAAGGAGTTGAGTATGTAGGAAGGTTCTATCGAGTGAGATAAATTAATGAATTTTATGCAATAGAGACTGGTTATTACTATGCTAGCTGAGTCAATGACCAGCAAGCATATTGGGCTACTGTCTGATCCAGGCCACACCTTGTACAGTGCTCCTATCCTCTTTTGTTACGAAAAAAGATCTGACAAAGTTCCCATGGTGAATAGCCATTTGGCTCAGTAGATACTCGCAAAATCCAACTACTTTTCCCATGAAACGTTCTATCCAAAAAAGGCAGCAATGCAACAAATGAGTGCGGGATAAATTCCGAAAAAAACTAATAATCCCAGCCGCGAGAGGCCTGGATACCGGAGCCACACAGGGTACGCAAATACATCCATATTTCACTTCTTTGTAACATTAGAGGTCAACTTGATTCAATCCACCAATGCCATATCGTATGCTGGGTACGCTCAGGAAACTCTTAGGATGGCCATTCCTCATGATCAAGGATGGGTTATGAGTTGGGCTCCGACCCTACCATCTGATATGATCGCAGCTAGCTTTATGATAACGGTGCTAGTGAGATGTGTGGATAGATGAACATGATGCAGACCAGAACATTGGCTACATATGATACAATTAATCTTGTCTATCTGAAATATGTAGAGCAAACTAAGCGTTTACAATGGGACTGCTGAAAAGTATAGAATTCGTTATCTACGACAATATTATTTAATGCTAGCACAGACTCTAAGACCACAAAGGAATAAATATATAGACTCAGCTCATATTTGTGTAACTTGACATTCTTCTGACTGAAATTTAGGGTCATGCCTTCAACGGGTAGGAGAATGGCTAGCTTCTTCACCTTATCCCATATCACTAGATGGGACTCCAGCCCAAATGGATCGACTCAGGGCTGGGTGGTGCATTAGTGCACCGTCCGGGCTGTTCTGCGAAGTAGATTCTGGGTAGCTTGAACACCTATCCCATACGAGACTGGAGAAAGCTGCATCGAATCCAGGAATACCCACACACCACACTCTCTCGCGGTGATATAATATTTGTGGGATGACGAAAGCACACTTAGATAACCATAGGGCTTCACGCTTTTCCCTGTGATTGGTATGCACGCAAGAGGCTATACGCCGTAAGGGTAAACATCGTGTGGTATCTGCAAATTAATTCTGAGTTTGAGTGTTCTAAATGTCAAGTTCAATCATTCTATATAAATTACATATCTTCCGCAATACCCTACATAGGCCTTAAGATGCCAAATCAGGATAATTGTTTTTTAATTTTTAACGGACCAACTCCTCTGTTAATTGTCGGATACATGATAGATTTATCCACATGCGAATATACAGCTGCCGCTCTCTCAACCTCCAGACTCCCTCTGACCCCATCTTGTGTGAAATTCCTTACCGTGTGGATAATCTGAGCGGGGATAGAGAAGATGGTTTACATTATTCTAGAACAAAGCTTATCAGTAACCCCTGGACTTCAATGCTTGAAATTAGTAGAAAAGAGAAACAACGATAGGCTATTTGCCAAGAGTTGTACGTCTCAGTATACGGTCAGTGAACAATAATCATAAGGGGCGTCATATATGGCCCGCTGCCAAGGCGAGGAATTTCAGGCAACTACTAGCCATTTGATTTATTTCTTTAGATTAAATAATTAAATGTAGCCCAATCCTTCCTCAACTACATCGAACATGATACCCTGTCCTCATTATCTATCTGTGATGCCTCGACCGACGGTATAAGACCGACCTATACATGTTATTACTAAGATTCCATCCACTTATTTATATATTTCCAGAATTTCCTCACAGATGAATGTTCATCACACCATACTAACACGCGTTGGCATCACCAATCCTTCATCCAAAGGCTGATCTTGCTACAAGCGTTCATCAACCAGTGCAATGCTGTTGCCACTGCTCTTTTTAATTGACCCATCAAACACAGCGGTAGAATTTTGGTTGCAGTTGGCCAGTGTTTGAAATTAGCTCCGAGATCTCTGTTGCTCCAAAGTTTTACCTTGATGGTACGAGCGGTGATTCTACTGAGCTGCAGTAGTTCTGGTCTCCCAACCAGCCAGCAGATGGGAGCGAGAATGCACTATTCTAGGCGACTGCATCACAAAGACATCACTCATCCGCCAATCTCATTCTCGGCCCCGGTGACGTTGGTGTCCTGTGAACGACCGTATAGGTTGTAGAGAACGTCTAGCCAATGGTCCAGCAGCTGTTCGAGCTCGCGTATGTGGCCTGCGGTAACGTTTGGACCCATGCTCTTTTCATGAATCTGCTTCTGTATGGTTTCATAGGCTTCAATCATCAGAAGAATCTGTAATTCGGAGGCTCGATCACTCTCTTCAATTGGGTGATGGCGAAAGAGAATGGAGGCCAGCTCATTGGTAAGAAGGTCGACACAAATCTTCAAGCCGATGTCGGTGTCGTCGTGCATGGTCTGCATCGATGCACAGCTCGATTTCTTGAGGGGCGTGGGAGGGGAGAAGTTTTTGTGTTGCTTCGTGTCAGGTGAGGCTGGCTCGGAGCCGACAAGTGTATCCAAATCTCCATCAGAGTCGATGGCGGCAGCGGCAGCAGCTATCATGGCTTGGGCTTCAGCTTGATTACGACTCAGGTCACGCAGACTTGTTTGCGATTTAACCTTGCGAAGACGGCGTGCAGGCTGACACTTATTACGATTGGGGTCAGTTGAAGACGAGAGGGGTAGGAGGGCCTGATAGTCTTCGGCGAGCTGGCATGCGTGACTATCGGCCTGATGGGCGAGATCTTCGAGCTGGCCGACGCGAAGGATGGGGGTCTTGGGACGGGTGCGGCGAAAGGTTTGTTGTTGCATAAAGTCCATAGAGTAACGACTGACTGAGGAGGTATCACTTAGATCCGAGGTTCGGTGGTGAAGGAGGCGCGCAAACTGTGGATCGGGCGAGGCCAGCGTTACGCGGGCTAGAGCGTCATGGCCGGGCAAACACAATGCCATGGACGACTTTCGCACGACATTGAGCATTTCCCGCGAGTATATTTTCTTGATCTGCCGGTCGCGGCGTTTTTTTTGTAATTTGTTGCGATTCACGTCTGCAGTGGCGGGAAGAGACCAGGTCATTTTGCGCAGGACTTCCAAGATGCAATACAGTAGCTCCATGTTCAGAGCAGCGGAAAGACCGGACAAGAGAGAGAGATGAGCAAAAGGCGCTCAAGGAGGTTGGCTTGCGCGAGAGAGCGAGAGTGATAGATGGGTGAAAAGAAGGTGCAGGTCGCAGCGTGTGGCGAGGAAATGGCGGGGGGGGGAGGACCATATGTAGGGACTGGCGGGGGCGGGGGATAGAAGAGCTATATCGCAGGACACTGCTGGCCGCGCGCGCCACTGACAGTCGGCGTAGACATGACAGCAAAGCGCGGAATCTAGCGAGGCGCCGCCGTCGCTGCTGCTGCTGCAACTCGGTAGGGTTGGCCAGCTGGACACGCGGCTGCAAGATCTCCATGGCGTGTAGAGGACGAGGAGCCGGGGTCCGTCCAACAAGCGGGGCTCAGACAGTAAGAATGGGAGCGAGAGCCTGGGCTAAGGGGCGGCAGAGACAAAAAGAGGGAGACGCTGTCACCGAAAGTGAGAGACGCAGACTCAGCGGCAAACGACCAAAGGCCTATGGAGAGATTGTGGCCAACACTTTTGTCAGATCTGACCAGACTTGGCCGCTCCGCCCACAATCTCTACCTCCGACATCACGTGTTCGGCCATCCGAGTGAGGGATCAAGCGGCGCCGGGATAGAGATCGGAATAGCCGAAGAAAGGTCAACTTCGCCGAGTGGCTCTGCCTGCCATAATGTAGAGATACAACGGCGGCAGTGGCGTTAGACTTACCGATGATGCTTCGCACTCTGCACCTCCAGCCCAACAGGCGTCACGACGGACATGACCTGCACGCATTCTACGTGGCAGCCGGCCCTCTGCATCGCACGCGCTCCGACTTGCGCGATCGGCGGCGTCTCTGCCCATCTTCCTCCGCCCACCCTGAGCTGCGAGCTGCCCATGTCCGACGTGACGACCATTGGGCTGAAAACGGAGCGTGCGAATCCTCATCGGCAACTTCGATTTCACGTCTACCCACGGCCCTGCTGCCACAGGTATCTTGGAGCGTCTAGCAGGCAGCCCGCATGGCCGAACCTGCACGTCGCGCCTCCTTTCTCTCGCTTCGTGATCCCTTCTCTGCCCAACCTCCCGCTCGTCGTATGTGCCAGACTACAGGCTCCATCCCCCTCCCCTGCGCCGATGCTTCAACGTCGATCGTCGCCCCGCTTCTGCAGCGGGCAGAGGCTGGTCCTGTGCCTACGCTCCGCCGTCGCCGCGCCTACCTAATCTCTGTCCCATTATCATCACGTGATAACATCAAGCTTCACTGCCCTGTGCACAGACCACCGAGCCCGCCCAACTCGGCCAAAGTTCTGGCAGGCGCGTTGATGGCCAAGTCTTCCTTGTAGTATCAGGGTCCGAATCAGGCACAGGGCCCGTCGCCCATGCCCAACCAGACGCGGTCTATAAACTGACCGCCGGACTTTCGCCATCTCGACGCGTTTCGCATTATTCCTTGCCTCATCTCTGCCTTCGACGTCGCCTCTCTCATTGTCGTGTAGGGCTCGAGCCCGAGATGATTGGTCATTTACGAGTCTATATTGTCTACTACTAGTTACATTCGGGCAACAAACTACCGTCGCTCGAGATCTGCTCCGCAAATGACAGCTCGCAACCACTATTGCTCTTCCTACCTGCTCCCTGCCCGTGCTTCTCCTGAAAATCAAGCTCAACTCGTGGGACAAGGCCAAGGCCCTCTACTCACCTGGCATGAACATCACTCATCGTCCTCTATCCATCCGACACGCCCATCTTCCAGCAGAGCCGCGTCACCGACTTCTGTAAGCCGTTGGTCACGTGGTAACGGCATCGGCTACTCCGGCTATACCGCCACCCATCGCCGAGCAAGATCCTACTCTAGCCACACCCGCCTCTCGAGATTTGGACAAATCCGATATACTTTGTCAACCACACGGCAGCATCACGCACGTATGATCTTACCAGGAGATCAGATGCCATCACGCATCACCTTAATCATTCATAAACCTCGACTATCAGCACTTTGCCAAACAAGCGGAGTTTACTATGCCCGCAACCGATAGGGGAACAGTCCCACATCGACAATCCTAGGTTGATTAGTCTTGATAGCGCTTGGCCCTCCGCCCCTGCGTCGAGTCTAGAAAAACTTCCGCAAGTCACATCCAAGCTACGACGCCCCTTCAAATCTTCAGATCTCACATCCTCGAATTCTGCGCCTCCATCACATGCTGAGTGATATGGAATCTACTACAACGCGCGCAAGAAATATCTGGAGATTCTTGGCGCCAGCGGCTCGAGAGCGCTGAAAAATCTGCGGATACCGCCGAATTAGACTAGATTCAATTTACAGTCCTCACTGAGCTTTTGGTTCTGACAGACTACGGCTAACTATCTACGGAGCTCGTAATTCCTCAATAATTTTTGAATTCACAATGTTCAGTTGTTTTAATTAACACCCAAGATCACGCCCCAAACATCCAACCAAGGTATTGAGAAAAAGCAGAATCTCGCATAATAACCCTACAATACAGTCAGTAAGGATCTACTGTTGCCATCTAACGCTGTTCAATCTCTGGACTTCTTGTTGAGCAATTATTGTAGCTCACGTGATGGAACACGGGAGCGTAGTAAAAGATTGTCAATGTTGAATTATAAGAAGGGCTGGTCAAACATAATCATCCCTACAATTTAACATAATGGAGTTAGGGTTGTGGTTATTGGTTGCCTAGGAGTTAAAAAGGGTAAGGCGTCTGTTGATTTATATACCCTGTATTAGTAGTTTCATATTAGCGTGTGGATGAGACTAGGAGCGATACATTAGTGGGTGCGAGGTCGCGATAATTCTATTAAGCGCGTAGGCGTAGAGACGAAGATACACGCAACGATTTAAACCCATACTATATTAAATCTACTTCCAAGTACTCCTGTGACAGTATTACTGTATTACCGTCCAGAGGAATCATATTTTAATAGTCAACCCACCAACCGAATTTAAGCGCTTACGGGCAAACATAGAGCTGTAGCACATTCTTTGCAGATAGACACAATAACAATTTGTCTTCAGCAATTTCGTCAACCTCCATAAAATTGAGACCCCATAGAAGTTCCAGACTTTCATACAACCCTCCATTGTATTGTCGCAATCGCATCTATCGCGAGCCACCACTGCATTCTAGAGTATACCCTCGAACCGTGATAAACAACACCGCCAGGTCTAGCATACAATCACAGTCCCTACATGTTCTTACATAGTCATAGGCTCAATAGGACATAAAACACATACATCTATATTACAGTCTTAGAAAGGATCTATTTCTATTTTCGTGGCTGGCTCAAGAAATTATTGACCTTTTTTCTCCCAAGTTTTTGCATCTATTTTCGGAGACTTGATGAGCCCTAGCTACCGCAGAATGTTCCCAAAACAAGTTTCATCGATACGAATATACCAGGTACAGTTCATTGGTACACCTCATTTACGAATTCGACATTCTCCTAGCCTGAATATCCGTTGGTAGTACCCTTTACAAAATTTGTTGCAGCAACCATAATCTGAGATAAAGTTTTCAGATCGGGCTGCGCTCGTTTCAATGCACAATTTTCGATTTGGAAGAGTTGGCATTGTAATTTCGCTTTACAAAATTGTGACGAGATTAAATTCTCGCGGGAACCCCAAAGATAGTTCAATTTTATCAATATGCGAATTGTGGATAGGCCTAACTCTGACGGATACATTTCATTCTTAGGAATGAATTATCTTGAGAACTCCTACTCTCGTGACAAACCTCTCTCGAAGAAACTAAGACCTGCAAGCTATCTCCATAATCATTTAAAATCTATACTTAAACGTCATTTTGACGAGATTCACCATAAGACCAAGCTATGGCTATATGAAAGAAGATATATCGAGTGCGTAGACAATATAAAACCCCGGCCGCCTACCTTGATCCAAAATGATGAGAACATTCTAACGTAACAACAAGATGCTAACGTGGAAATTGCTTTGATTTAAAGCTATCTAGAAAAGAGTACTATTTTGCCCTTTGTTTCTTCTATAGCAAGCTCTCTAAACTTTGGAGTTTAGTCTATTTCAATTCATGGGCCTAGTAGGAGGCAAAACAAAATCTATAATAAAAATACTGATTAGTTAGATTGAGCTCGGCCCTTCTCATTCTAAGCCCCTCTAGCTTGCGGGTAGTGTCAGATATCGAGCGTATATACGAACACAAGGACAAATCCTTGTCCTATCACTTTTGCAGTCATGGCGGCTCAAGTCAGCGACTCCTAAAAGATAGGGAAGATCTAGTAACACTCTTGAAGACACTCTGATACTAGCCTCGTCATTATAAAGCAGGATCGTCTAACATCATCGCTATCGATGATTAATAATGCGTCTAGATTCAATTATAGCGTATTCTTCTACCAATGGAGAAATCTCGTGACATGTTGGAAATGGAGACACAGAGTGTTGTCGACGTACGGGACCTCCATTTGGTCTAGGTTCCCGACACGATTTCGTGTGTATTTAAGAGGTTGAAATGGGTAATCTGGTAGCGCTTCAGGCTGACTGATGGACAACTGAGCGGCTGTGTGGTGTGGGTACAAGGAGGTTGTTGGGGGTTAACTATGCCTAGATGGCGCCAAGCTCGTTTATGCTGTGGCTTAGGCTCTGTGTCGCTTACACTTGTATTTGTAGGGCACACTTCTCTTGTCTCTAGCCGTAATCCGGTCATGATACTCCTCTCGTCAACTTCTACTTTCGTTCCATAAATATTGCGCCCATTTCATTGCGCGATATTTCCTACACGACTTAGTGTCAAGAGGAAGATGAAAGGCTAAATTGATTGAGCTTGGAACTCAATAACACTCATCTAGACTTCACCTAGGGTGAGGAAATTGGAAGACGATGCTAGCTAGTTGCTGTTTTACATGGGCAAGGAATTTCAAGCAGCCTTTAAAAGTCGAGACTTAGCCCTTTAGCAACTCTAGCTGTGCTTGGAGATGAAGGTTTTTGACTCATTATCCCTCAGTTAAGTATCGCTCGTAGGCGAGAGAATTCTTTTTTCATATATCTTTTTTTTATTCATTCGGGAACTCTATCCAGTATGGGATGGCAAAGAGTCAAGGCCTTTCCCATCAGCTTGAAATGCCATATTATGGGCAGATTTTATGTCATTTAATAGAGAGAGAGCTCATCTTTGGCCATTTGCTTGGACAGGGATATCGACGGGAATCATACCCCCAAGTCAAATCTATTGGATGACAGGATCAGAATTCAGGACTATTTAAGCTTTCCAAACCCAATCATGTTGCCTCTTCCACCATGGTGCTGCAATAGTAGAGCCGTGTTTTGTGGCATTCGTAGGGGCTGCTGCGCGTTTGAAAAGCGTGGTTTAAGAGAAAGAAATCGTCAATTTCATCCGACAATTTATGGAAAAAGATTTCATCGTGATAGTTCCGTAGTGGCAAATGGTCTACATATCTTTGCCATCAACATAGCCTGCTTCTTCCATCAAATACGAGGGCTCTGTACTACTGACATTGTGGTGTTGGATTTCAAATCTTGTTGTGCCACAGCCAACCTACACTAAACTATATAAGGTCCCCTAACTCGAAAGATGGACGGCCTAATCATCGCAGATTTCCGCGCACTGCCTACAGACGGCTCCAGCACTTTTTGATGGGGTGATGCTAGGAAATTTATTATCCACATAGCCATCTCGACTTGGTGTTGAATCAGTGTCATCAAATCATGTACAACAACTCTTGACTTGATAAATACTCGAGCTCCAAAACTAACTTGTTCATTCCACGATCAATAACCCCTCCCCACGGAAGATGGCTGGCCCTTGTTCCAGAGTGCCCCCGAGAAAGAAGTTCCATAAAATTCGCCAACAATAGATTGATTTCACCATCAACTCCACGAAGAACATACCAATTGAGGACGACTCGGACTCGGATGCATTTAGGACAGGCTTCCCCAAGTGAGCCCAGAATGACTATATGTTATGGGTGCCATGTGATACTTGGGCCTCTAAAGCAAATTTTGCTTTCGTAGAGCTGGTATCTAAACAAGAGGATTAGCTGAAGGCTGAGGTATCAGCGTCTTAGCTTGAGCATCTACACACAGTGGGCTTGCTCGGCTAGTGGTACGGTAGCAACGGGACAGAGTCAGGAAGATGGACAGTTATTAAAGATTCTGGGATGACTGGATTGGGAGAAGGACTAAGGAGCAGCTATCATAGAGGAAAAAAAGGAAGAAAAACGAAGAAGGCTATGGTGGACGACTGGATGAGGCATGAACTGGACTGAACGTGAGGGGAAATTCTAGGAATGGGAAGGTGCCAAGGGCTCGAGTATATTGTGGCCGAGGCTGAAGAGGAATCTGTGCTTCTGCTTATAAAAGTCGGACTCTCTGGGCGATTGGCCTTGACATGCTCAACACCCAGGTAAAGCAGGAGATTGTCAGATCATTCAGGGATACGAGCTTCATATATCTAATGGCAATTAACTGGACATAACCCGGTCCCTCTCGAGCTACTAAAGGAGTACAGAGGGTGCTGGTCGTGCCGCAGGTTAATTAAAACCATAAAAAGGTAAAATATGCTGCTCGTTGCTATCACACGTAATATTGAGTGTGTGCGACGCCTGATTCAGACCAAAGGTGGTACCGTCAGTTGATCTTAACAGAGGTAGACGTGATGAACAGGCCGCTTAGCTGTACATCCGCCATGAGTTACAAGTGTTGATATGCCAAGAGTCTCTAGCCTTTTTACAGGCTCCATTGTGGATAAATAGTTAAGCGATAAGGGGATCCGTACATTACTTGCAAGTCGAATTTCAACTGGATATTAGATTCTATCAAAATTAATACATAGCCAAAGATGGGGACTACACTATGTATAGACTTATTCCGGCAGTTTGTCATAATATTGCAGCCATTCCAACGCGATGTACTATGTTTCTTTCATTTTTCCAAGAAGCCACACTATATCAGGAGTCAATTTGTTCGTAAATTGCTTCTATTCTATCATAATCATACACGCCCAAAATTGTCGCTCGCCTCTTTATTTCACCAAAGCATCTTTTGGCGTTTCCATTTTGCCTCCAGTTAACTCCTCCGCAATTATTCGCATTCGTTCACCTATAACAACCGCTGGTGACTGATATGCCTGCGTGGCAGTCTTTGATGAGCCGCTACTATTCTTGAGCAAATCCTGAGCCGTTGGCGGCGAGCCCAGGGCATCCCAAATATTGTCATTATAATCATTCTCTAAGAAGGGTTTGAGCGTGAATATTTCTTGAATCTTATCTTCTAAGTCTTCCTCCGTTGTAATGAAATTCCGTGCATTCATGTAAAGAGTATGAAGGGCATCTTTTCTGCGCTGCATCATAATTTCAGCTTTTTCTTGGACACGCGCAGCTTTGGCGGCCAGCCGCGCCGCACGATTGGGGTCCGGGAGTGGACCACTTTGTAGCACACTGTTGAGACTGGTGACGGTGGGGTTGGTTAGACGCTCATCTTCGCGAATTGGTGCATTTAAAAGGCGTTGTCGACGTTTTTGTTGCCCCTGGCGCACACTAGCTAAGTGTTTTTGCCGTTCCATTTTTCTTGTATGCAATTCGGTCAGTGATTCCCTCAAATTTCTCCTTCGCATGTCTGCCATTTGTTGTTTCCAGGCAGCGAGGTCATTCTTGGGGGGTTTGGAGTCCTTCGGCTCGGGAATAGTAGCCTGAAAGAACTCCGGCAGATACTTAGGAGTGGCTAGAGCGCGGGTTTTGAGGACGTCGCGAGGTGGAGGGAGTGTGCCTTTCACGTCATGCCGCCGTAAGATTCGTCGCGGCGGTGCTTGGCCAGGCACGTCAATGAAATAGGGGTGTTCCGGCCGGACTTTATTATTTCCAGGAGAGCTCGAGTATAAACGAGTAAATGGTATGGCTGTGTTTAAACTTCTACACCGAAGTATCGAGCCTGCACAGGCGGATGCTAAGGGCGGCATTTTGAATAGGGCTCTGAGTGTTGGCTTGGCGAGGTATTGAAGATTTGGTCCAGACGGGAGTGCACGCTCCATGTCACGTGAACTAGCGCATCCGAAAAATTTCTTCATTAACCCTCATTTCTCGACAATTGCGTTGTAACCAACAACCTTCTGTATCACATTTATCAATTGCTTCCACTTCAGAACGAAATGGGTACTGCCAAGAAAGAAGCTAGCCGAAAGGTTCGCGAAGGTAAAGTAAGCGATGGCATGGCAAACGTTAAGACTAAGGGCGAAAATTTTTATCGCTCTGCAAAGAAAGTCAAGACATTAAATCGCCTCACCGAAGGACGTGCCCGACGCAATGCGGCCGGTAAGGTAACTATTGCAGCCAAATTTCAGTCCACTCAAGTACCTGTGGCACGCGTCGAGCCTAATAGAAAATGGTTCACAAACTCAAGGGTAATCGGACAGGACGCTCTCAGTGCTTTCCGAGAAGCTATGGCCGAGAAAGAAGCAGATCCCTATCGTGTCTTACTAAAAACTAACAAACTTCCAATGAGCCTCATCCAAGATGGGTCTGGTAAAAATGGCATTAAGCAACATCAAGCAAAGTTGACGATCGAAGCCTCTCCATTCGGCGAGATATTTGGTCCAAAGGCCCAAAGGAAACGTGTGAAGACGAACGTAAGCTCACTTCAAGATTTAGTTGACCACAGTATTAAGAGTCACGATGACTACCTCGACCGACTGGAGCAATCAAAGCTCCTAAGCGGACAGGGTGGAGGTGAAACTAACCCGTCGGAGACAATGGTCGCCGATGACGGCTGCATTACGAGTGCGCGGGAAGCTATATTCAATAAGGGTCAAAGCAAGCGAATATGGAATGAGCTTTACAAAGTTATTGATTCATCAGATGTCGTTATTCATGTGCTCGATGCTCGAGATCCACTAGGTACCCGTTGTCGGAGTGTGGAGAAGTATATCAAAGAAGAAGCTCCTCACAAACACTTGATATTTGTTCTCAACAAATGTGACTTAGTCCCAACTGGCGTCGCCGTAAGTAATATAAATATCATGCATCCTTTTCTCTTGTCAATTCCATTGTTAAGTCAAGGCTCCTTCTGCAGTTAGCTGCTTATCACCATGGAAGGCCGTCTGTTACAACTTTGGTAGAAAAATTGCGATCCCGCCGCTTTTTGTCTTTTGACATTAAGTAGACACTTCTTCGTCTTGGAGATTGTGTCGCAAAGGGATTTTAAATGTTTCGTTTGAGTTGAGAGCTACATCCGTGTAAACGGCTACCAGTAGTAGCCTTCTTAGTAATGATTCATACATAAACCATTTCTTCGAATATTTATTGTGACTTTTGGGCCATAGCTAATTCAACGTAGGCCTCATGGGTAAGGTACTTGTCAAAGGACTACCCCACACTTGCATTCCACGCCTCAATCACAAACTCTTTCGGAAAAGGCTCATTAATACAGCTTCTAAGACAGTTCTCTTCCCTCCACTCTGATCGCAAGCAGATTTCTGTCGGTTTCATCGGCTATCCTAACACTGGAAAATCATCTATAATCAATACTCTTCGGAAAAAGAAGGTCTGTACAGTTGCGCCAATACCCGGCGAGACCAAAATTTGGCAATATATCACCCTCATGAAGAGAATCTACCTCATTGACTGCCCAGGAGTAGTTCCTCCCTCAACAACAGATACGCCTCAAGACATACTACTGCGTGGAGTTGTAAGGGTAGAAAACGTAGAGCATCCTGAACAATATATCCCTGCAGTTCTAAATAAGACGAAACCACAGCACATCGAACGAACGTATCAGATAAGATATTCTGAAGATCACATCGAGTTTCTTGAACTTCTTGCCCGTAAGTCAGGTCGATTACTGCATGGTGGAGAACCCGATGTAGATGGTGTCGCTAAGATGGTCATCAATGATTTTTTACGCGGAAAGATTCCCTGGTACACGCCGCCCCCAAAATCTGAAGATGCAGATGGGGCTCAAGTCGAGGGCATCGAAGGTCGTCAGGGCAGACTTGGTGAAATGGGCCGGAAGAGAAAGCGAGACGACGAAGCCTCAGAAACAAAGTCGGAGACTTCTGGCCTAGCTCACGAGGTAGAAGAGTCAAACTTCGAAGACTTTGGTAGTGAGAGTGAAGCTGAGGAAGGAGATATCACCCACGCTGTTGATGCTGCATTCGGGCTCACTGGAGATGATGAAAGTGACGCCGAGCAGATCGAAGATGTTTCCGAGTCTGCTGTCGGCACCGATGTGACGGCTGAACAGGAGGAATCCATCGAAGGGCCACGCAATGTAAAACAGGTACTTAGTATCCAAGCTGTAGATATAACGGATCATGATCTACCATCAGAATCGAAAATGCCGCCACAGGGTAGGATCCGTAGGACCCAGAGTTTTAGAAATATAAAAAACGTGTAAGTGTTAAAGTTGATCACTACGTATAGTGTGTGCCACGCTTTTGTCTTGATCGGTAGCATTTGATCAAATGATAAAGATTGACATTTAGCCCTGAATCTCGGTGTTATACTGTATTGAAATACTGCCAGGCAGTAGCTTTTTGCTCCTGACGATTTGATATCTACAAATATTATCTATAGTACGCTATACAGATCAGCAAGTTTTGAGATTATGAAGCTCATCTAATGCATGCCAACACGTGTAGCTTACCGGAACATTTATCTCTACTCTAAAAGTCTTATAGATGAGGACCTGCTATTTTTGAACCATACAACTATATTGACCGACCCCTATCTTGGTTCAATCCTGGTACATGTGTTCTGGAACCGTACTTATCTTTGCAGGCTTGCAGTTTGTTAAACTTTATTAATCTAAGAGAATCTAGTACGTTGGGCTCCTCACGAAGCCAGGCCGCACCTTTTTCAGTGCTCCTATCCTCTTTTGTCACGAAAATAGGCATCTGATAAGATTGAGGGTCCCAGATTCAAAGGCCTCTAGATTTGGATGAGGCCCTATCAATTTGTCATGCTTATGTAATGATTTTTGTTTTTATATTTAATTTGTATTCAGCTATCTAGCTTTGACACAATATCAAAGCTAGAATTCCTGAATATTCGTGAGAGAATCAATAAGATACCCCATTACCATTACCGACCCCCTCCGACTCGCATACAATTACACTAATTCGAATTCTCACAGTAGCAAGACCCCGGATCTCCAATATGTCTCCGGGGCCTGCCAAATCATCGCGACCTATTCGCCTTCAAAGAACCATTGATAGAGCGAAAACCAGGCTGGAAAAGCTCTTGGCAAAAAAGAACATACCATTGAGCTCGATAGGCGGGCGAAAAATGGAGCTGGACATGACCGAAAGGATAAGAGCCTTCGAAGAAGATTCTAACTCCACAAACCCTGATGTTGAAATGGGTGATGTGGTTATCGACCGATATATCATGGAGGGGCTTGAGAGCTCACAATGAAATATCAATGAACCTTAAGACGATCAGGTCTCAAAGGCCCTCGTCAATATAAACACAAGGAAGATTGCTGTGCCGGCCATAAAGCGGACAACTAATGCTAACTTAAAAAAAAGCCGACGAAGTCGCGCCCACCACAACACCTCAGAATACCATTCCGGGGGCAAATGGAAACGATCAATCTTCTTGCAGCGATAGTAGCTCCAAGAACACTGCGACTTGTCTTCCCGAGCTTCGAGCCATACTTGGAGCCGAAGAACAGCGGGCGGCCCATGCCGTATTTAACCTTACAATATGCACCGTTGCCATCAACAGTGTGGAGAATGCACTCGCACCTCTATCCAAAGGGCCAAGTGTTCAATTTATAGACTCCATGAAAGTCTACCTCGGAGCTGCAGTAGCTCAATTCATGTTGCCGAGACCAGGAACAGTCCTTCCCAACCTCCCCCCCACGACCAAACTGCCAGAATCATGGCGGAAAGATCGTGGAAAAATCAATACAAAAGCAGCCAGAGCAGCTACAAAAAGAGAACCAGGCGAGGATAACTTCGGTCAAGCCTACCTGGGCAACAGTTACCCGAATTGGCCTCCACACACCGGCAGCACCTGTGAAAGATGTGCGGGTCCACAACGAACCCTCGGCACCAACGAGACCTCTAGCAAAAGCTTCGAAAACTGTCCCCAAAGATAATCGTCTATTTCTTCGACTCGGAAAAGAACATGCTTGGCGCGCTCTTTCGCCGGCCGGTGTGCGAGATGCGGCAGCAAAAGTGCTCGAGCTTCCTCCGCAGAATATTGAAAATGTATACCGTGTTCTGACTGGCTTCGCACTTCGAGCCAAAAACCAGGAGATACGACAGCTCCTTCTGGACTCTGCTGAGTCTTTGGTCCAGGTAGATGCAATCCTGGAAAAGGCCTCAGATTTGGTGGCCCTTCGTATTGCGACAATTGGCGTCGCAATTCACACACTCCTAGGCAAAGTAGTTGTCATCGACGAGATGGTAGCAGATGAAATCCTCCGAGTCACTAAAAAGGTTCCAGTAAGGGCTCGCCCTCATGGAAAAGGGAGAGTGGGAGCCCCCTACCAGACATGGGTAGCTCATTTCGAAAGAGAGTCCGTCCCTAAACCAGGCTTCCGACTGTTCGACGACTCTGGAATCGCTGTTCGCCATAAGCCACGCTAAACTGTGAGCCAATGCAAGCGATGTCTCTTATACCACGGGACCCAGAGTTGCTCGCGCGCCCCAGTGTGCTGGAGCTGCACCTCAACAATGCATTCCACGTCGGAATACCAAACACATGCCAAGTGCCGCAATTGCGGTGGCCCCCATAGATCAGACAGCCGAGATTGCCTGGCTCGCCCTAACAGTTCCAGAATGGCCTCTAAGCAAACCCTCGAAAGAATCAGGAACGCTAGCCAATGCGAATATGCCGCGGTGATCCGAGCAAAAACCGCTGTTCGACGAGCAGAGGCCGACATCAAAGCCGCCACTGAGTTAGCCAAAACAGCACCACCGAACTACAGCTCTAGCAACAGCTATGAGGTTCTAATGACGGATGAGACGCCAAATATGACTAAGGTCACAGGGGCGACCATTCCAAAAAATCACTCATATAGGGCGCCACACGGGCCCCTTTCCGCCACCCCTATACTCTAAGTTCCATATCAATAAACGTAGGTAAAGGAGGTCCGGCGTATGTGTTTGTGTTTATTGTGCTACTTGAGTCTATGACTATCTAGCACAGTGGGCTCCTCTCTGACCCAGGCCACACCTTGTACAGTGCTTCTATCCTCTTTTGTTACTTGAAAGATCATTGATATATTCCCCTTGATGAATAGCCATTCAGCTCAGTATTTACCCGTGGAATTCGGCCACCTTTTCCACGGAACCTTCTACCCAACGAAAACAAAAATGGTAGCAATGGAAACTGCGTGCGCGGGAAAAAGTCTCAAAAAACCTGCAGCCCCAGCCAGGCGAGGCCTAGACACCGGGACCACATGAGGTGCGCATATTCATCTATGTCTCCCTTCTTTGTAACAGTCGAGGCCGACTTGATCCAATCCACCATCTCCGTATCGGGTGCTGGGTACGCTCCGGAAACTCATCGGATGGCTTTTCCTCCGTGATCAAGGTTTGATGATGAGTAGAGCTCCGACCCTACCATTTGATCTGATCGTGGTTAGCTTCATGATAATGGTGATAAGGGAATGTGTTGAGAGATGAAGACGATACAGACGGCGAAAGCGATTGGGAATCCTTATCGAAGTGAGGACTTCGTTACTCAATCTCGGCACTGCAGACTCTACAGTGAGAGCTGGAGGTTCGTAGGGGACACCGCTGACAGGTGTTGAGAATAGTCCCCCTGAGGTCCGGCGTAGAACATTGCACTCGCCCGAGCATTCGAACTGAGTGTCGGCGTTATTCTAATTCAAGGGCCTCGGTGGAAGGAAGAGACAATGTCTCATCCTGGATATATATACCATCTACCCCATGGTGGCGAAAAGGTCAGGCCGAGAGCTGTGTCCTACACCCGGAAGGATGATAGGACGATATCAGCAAGGCAACTCTTCCCCTGCACTAAGCTGACGGGCGACTATTGCTGGGTGCTTGTTAATGGAGTCACCTTCCTCAACGTGTACAAGGTACCTAGAGACACATCAGCCATACAACCGCTTGTCAACTGTACCCCGCCAACGAACTCGGTCGCTACGGGTGATTGCAACTCTGTATACTGCGCCTGTCAACCCGGAGTCACTCGCCCCTACGGGCAAGGTAAAATGATTGAAAGATGGGCAGAAGATCACAATCTAACCAGCCTTATTGTCGGAGGGCCCACGCATCAAGTTGGAAATACCTTTGACCTAGTCTAGACCTACATCAACGGCAGCCGTGCATGGGTAGACCACGATGAATGTGTCACCAGCGACCACCTTCCTATCCGAGGAATAATCCCGATCCAGTCCTCAGTATTGAGATCCAACTTGGGCAAGATTCGAGTGACGAGGGAAAGATTACCTAACTTTGCGCGAGCTGTCTCTAAATTAGTCCGTCTACCACCAGTTTTAGATACAATTGAAAAGGTCGAAGACTACGCCCAGGAATATGCTTAAAGCTTAAGACTGCCACAAATGCAACAGGAACTCGATCTAGAGGAAAAGGCGGTAAATCAGCCCCGTGGTGGACCTCGGCGTGCAAGGAAGCACGGGCTGAATATCGAGCGGCCGAATTACCCATCCAACGTGCTGTGTACGCCAAAAAGCTCCGATCAGTTATTAGGGCTGCCAAAACAGAATATCAAGTACAGCAGGCGGAAAAAATGAACACACCGAGCGATGTCTATAAGCTGATAAGAATGGCTGGGCCTGGACAGACAAACATCCCACCACCACTCAATCACAACGGAGCTCTCATCTCTGATCCGCTAGAGCGAGCCACAGTTCTCCGAGACTCTCTCCTGGCAAGACACCAAATTTCAGACGACCTGCCGCCTTGCACTGCCACGAGCAACAATCGGATACCATGGAAGGATGACATCTCCGAGGAAGAAGTCCGAGCATGATCCATTGGCTGTGGAAATACGGCTCCGGGAGCAGGCGGAGTCTCCGTACAGCTGCTAGTGGCCTGCTGGAAGACAATTGGACCATGTATAGTCAAACTCTTCAGAGCTTGCACACAGCTTGGTACGCACTCGACTTGTTTTAAATTGGCCGAAGTAGTACCTGTACAGAAGCCTAAAAGGGACCCAACAACTTTCAAAGGATGGAGACCAATTGCCCTTCTTTCTTGCCTTGGTAAAGGGCTTGAGAGACTTCTGGCAAAACGGATGGCGCACTTAGCAGTGATTTGTGATGTAGTTGATCTGCAACAATTCGGCGCACTCTCGAGACACTCAGCAACAGACCTAGTCTCCTGTGTAGTACACGATGTCGAGGAGGCGCGCACATAAGGATGGGCGGCCACTTTCGTCACCTGACGTACAAGG